AAGCATAGGATGGGACCTCAGAAAGAATAGAATGAAACCACTGACTGGCCATGTGATCCAGGTCAAATTACTCAACTTTTTGAGACTCAGTGAGTAATAATAATAATGATAATAATAATAATAATAATACACACTCCACAGGATGGATGGATGGATTCAATAAAATAAAGTATACAAGAGTCTGGCAAATTCGCATGTTGCTAGAACTCATTAAATATAAGTTCCATATCCTTTGTCATCATTGGAATAAAAAATAAAATTTGTGGGATACAAAAGCTGGGCATAATGGAAACTGAAAATGAAACTCATAATTAAATATTAGAGTCAATTGTTCTAGTTTCAATCTAGACCTGTGCTGTCATAATGGAAATATTCTTCACAAAGTCAGTTTTGAGCAGAAGTCACAGAGCTAAGCTTATTATTTAAAAACAACAACAGCACTATGAGAAGTGATCTCTGCAGTAGCACATGAAAAGGAAGTAACAGGAACAGCTTTACAATGTTATTTCTATTAGCTCTTGTCCTTGCGCTACTATCGGCAAGTTTTCACATGATTCTTGTGAGCGCTGCCATGTTATCCCTGAAAGTTATTCATTACAGTTGTAGCCTCTAATGTATTGGCATTGGTCCTGCAAAGGTCTTCTGGGACTGAGGGAAAGACAGAGGGGAGAGCCAGGGTCAATTAATCCAAGCTTAAACATATGTCTCAAAGTGGTATTCAAACAGGATCATTCTACATGAATGTCTCTTGTTTCCATCTCTTCAAAACATTCCAGGCCCTAGCTTCCTGCTTTGCTCTGGCATTTTAATCCCCCTGCTTGGCATCACCTCGAGCTCCTGGCATGGCTTGAATGATTTCTCTCATTTTCCCAGAGGGCTGGGGTTCTATCATCTGGGACTGTCATTGGAGAGATGCAAATGAAACCTCCTTTGAGGTGAATTGAAGTCAACGTGGTATCACCTAGCCCCTGCCCAGCAGGGGTGTAAATGCATTATCCTCAGAAATAAATATGCTCCCCAACTTTTCTTGGCTTCGTCAACTACACACCCACCTTTTCTTTTCTTTCCTGGGTATGCTCCAAACCATCTCCACACCGGGCACTCACGTCTACTTCTCCAACCATCTCTGCCTCCCAGACACACCCAATCAGTATTTACCCCCCTCTTTGGGGCCTTAGCCATTCCAAACTGGAAGAAACTTGGCTTTTCATCAATGAGTTCTGGCATAAGCACCGTTTGGCATCATCCTTTTTTAATCCCCCTTTTCATCTTGTCACCCCTCCTGCTTGTTCTCAGATATCCAGTGCCCTGTGTAGATCCATGGTTACCCAGGACTGACCATCTTCTTACCCCTATCCTTTACCCCTGGGAGAAAAGCATATAATCAGCTAATCCACATAAGTACAATAAAGACACATGATCATGTGAGTGATATCAAATGATCCTCCAAACAGGGATATTTTTTGAGAAGATGATGGCAACACAAGTAAATTACTATCTAATTGTAAACTCTAACCCTGAGCCACAACGGGAAACCATTTTTATGTTAATAGTTTTTCCCAGCATATCATGTAACATAGTAACTCAGCTGAGCACCTGGCACCTGCTAGGTGCTCAGGAGTGGAATCAACAATGGACTTCTTCTATGGTGCAGCTAAACTTGAAGATTTTGAAAGTTTCAGACCCCTCTTCAGTAGCCATTTCCTTCTTCACCAAATAGAAACTCATCTAATCACTCCTCTCAATCATTTCACACATCTTTATTGGACACCCATGTCACACACAATTCTAGTATTTGAGATATAACTATCCTTTTAGGAGCTTTCAGTCCAGTGTGGAGACAGAAAATTATGTACAATTGAAAACATGATATGTTCTGTGAAGAGGGTGTGCTGTGAGAAACACAGGAATGTTCCCAACACAGCATTGGGTACCTCTAGAGACAGTAACACACAAGCCAAAGTCTGAAGGGCAAGGAGGAGGTATCCAGGTGAAAGGGAGAAGGCAATACTCCAGAGAGGAGCCAGAGTATGGTGGTATGTAGGGGGTGAGGGGGATGGGAAATGCAAGTAATTGTCACAGGTTCAGTTTTGGGTTCCTGGGGGGTAAAAACAAAGACCATAGCACTAGGCATTTCTTGAGCACCTTCATCAGGCAGTGCTCTAATGCGTTCATGTCCTTCTCCTGGCTTCAGTGCCACCGTCAACACGAGAGTCAGGAAACCCACCATGCTCCACTCTCTGCTGCTCCACGGCCCATCCCCCAGTCTCACTACCACACTCTGGGAGAAAGCTCTGGGACTAACTCAGCTATGTCTGCCACCCTTGTTAACATCATCTTGATCTCAAACCCTTCCACAGTGCCTCATGGATGTGCCAGCCAGTATCATCAAAACTTGCTGCTCTTTAACCTAGTCTCTGACTGAATGGTCTCTCACTCCTCTGGGAGAACCCTGTCCCCACAGCCTTCCTCTCGGGGAGGACTGTTTTTCTCCTAACCCCACATGTCACGGGGCTCTGTTTGCTCCTCATTGCTACTTCCTATCAATTTTAACTCCCTCCTCCTTTGCACGCCTCATCTTCTTTGAGCCATGCCATTATGCACATCTCTTCCTCACACTGGAATTATCTGAAGGTATCTGAATCACTCTCCTCACTCCTTGAAGATTTTAGCACCAGGCTCATTGTCTCTCACAATCATGCCTCCTGTCATAATACTTGGTGATTTCCAAATCTATGAAGGGGATCTTTTTCCACCCTGGCCTTTCATTTTCTTGACCCCTCCAATGATCTTGTCCTTGAGCATACCTGAGCCACCCATAGGTAATGCCCTTGTAGGTAACCACATACAGTATAAAATTTCAATTTCAAAGCTTTCTCTCTCTGGCTTCCACTTTCTGTCTGTCCAGCTCCCACCTCTCCAGTTTTCTGATTCCAGAAATTTCTCACCCCCACCACAACCACCAATCCATTGATTTTATTATTCTTTCACAGTTTCTCCACCTCCCTGCATATCCATATTTCCCTCCATGTCCATCTCACGGTCCCTCATTGTGATCACTTTCATGTGTACCCCTCCCCTCCCTTGCCACTATTCTTTTGTTGTACTTACTTGGATGAATCCTAAACTTAGTTGAATCCAACTCTCTGTATATTCTCCCAAAGCAGCTTAATATGGCAAGATAAAACAATGTTAACTAACCTTATTTTATTTCTATGAGTACCAACCTCAACTGAGCCATTGGTGCTGCCCAAGGAGCCATTAAGAGGCAGTACGGATGGGGAGGGCTCATGGAGCCAGATTTCCTGGTTCAGATTCCTCATTTCCTGCACCATCACATTTAGCCTCTTCATTGGATCATTCCCATCATCATATGGACCTACTCTAGTAACCTTCCTTGACCTTCATGTAGCTAAGCATCTCTCACTTCTCTCTTCACTGAGAAACACCTCCATGTCACTACTTCCCATTTTCTCTTAAATCCACTCCTATAATGTTTTTTTCACCACTGCTCCATCAAAACTGCTCTTATCAGTTACCAATGACCACTATATTGCCCAAACCATGCTAACTCCCAGTCCTTGTTTTGTTTAATTTATCAATGGCATTTGGCATGGCCAGTTACTCCTTGAAACACTATTACTCCTTGATACCACACCCTCACATTTCTCCCGACACTCTTTCGCTGTTTTCCTCTCATATTCTTGACATCTAAAAATATTGCAGGGCCCAGGGTTCAACACTTACCCACTTTCCATCTCTACTTACACTGATACCCTTGGTGGTTTTATCCAGTTCCAAGTATTAAACACCATCTGTAATTTGATCATGCCCATATTTATATGCTCTTCCATGGATGTTCTTGTGGCTCATTGAGCACTTCCTTCAGGTCTTGGCTCAGATTTTACTGCACAGAGAGGCCTTCCCAGGCCATTCTCTATAAAATACTATTTCTACCCCTTACACTGTTTTATTTTTCTTTATAGCACTTTTCCCATCTATCATATATTTATTTGTGTATTAAAAGCCTTTTGAGAACAGGGACATTGTCCACTCTGTAGAGTGCCTTGTACATAGAAAGCTACCAATAAATGTTTATTAAATAAAAGCATGATTCCATTCAGTTCTGACAACACCCCAGCAGTCCTAGTAGAAGGGTTATTACAGATGAAGAAACTGAATCTGGTTAACTCATTGTCACACAGCTGACTCAGGCAGCCTGGGTCTAGAGCCCACATGCTCACCTAGTGTGCTGCAGGAACCAGAGAGGTACATGAAGTCTAGATCACAAGGCTACTTTCAATAGGTATGGAATTTATCTTGAGAATGATACAGACAATGGGATGTTTGTGGTGGTGAGGGGAGTGACATGCTCTGGGTAGGATGCTGACTCCATTCAAAATATGCACGTAATTTGCTGACTCCAGTTCCTAGGTCATCCAGTCAGGCACTGTTGCAAAGTTTAGGCTGGCAGTATGTATATGCTTTCTAGCATCAAACTGGCCTGTACTAACAATATTTAAGGGCGATTTAGAAAAGAGTTTCAAATCAACTTTACCTTGAGGTCTGCGGAATTGAAAACCTTCCTTGCCATTTCTGTAGCTGCCTGATAGTTGACATAATTCCTAAAGGAGCTTATATATTAATACCCAAGAACCATTTACTATGCTCAGGTGCTGCTGACCCAAAATGCCATGACTTAAGCTAAGTAACCTAGCAAAATTTTAAGCTGTTTAAAACACACACACATGTTTCAACCCATAGTTAAAGAAGATAAGACTTCAAAACATTTGATTACATATTTAAAGTATCTATAATTTAAATATTTGACTTCTTTAAAGTTTAGTGCTTTTTAGTTTTGACCTTTCAGTTATCTCATGTATGGGAGGTTGTAACATGCATAAGATATTTTCATGTAGATAATAAGTGCATTCGATTAATAGATGCTAAAATAGATCATGTTTCCATGGTGAAATGAACTGCTGTGTTCTGTTTTAAAGGGAACCAGGTGTTCACCCTCCAATACCGCCAAAGCCCAGTTCTCCTGTTCTATCTCCTAACCAGCTGAGACGGGATAATAGGTAAGACCTAGCACTCCAAAATTTCAGAAAGGAAGAAGTTCAAGGAAAATGAAAGCAGTTGAACTGTCACCTGTTTTGTGTAAAGTATGGGTGTGTTTTGTGTGTACACTTATTGAAGAAACACTTGTAAAACATTTTTACTTCTGTTTGTAAACACAAGTGTATGTTTATGTTTGCCTCTGAATACTTATGACCATTAATTGTCTTTGGAAATACAATTTCTAGATAGAAACTGAACAATCTCAATGTCCAGGCAGTGTTCATGCTCAGATGCCTTCTAATTTATGTAGTAGGAACCGATATGCAAGGAACCTCTCTCTCTCTCTCTCTCTCTCTCTCTCTCTCTCTCTCTCTCTTTCATAAATATACATGCCCACATATATATGGTTTATATTACATGCAAATATATATATTTGACATATATATGGTTTATATTCAGTCATAGTTAGGTTTCCCATTAAGAACTACAATTTCTGATCAAAGATGTTTTTGAAATTTTGTGTCACTGCTCAAACCCTCCCTAGGTAAGAAATACCATTGGGTAGTTTTTTAGTCTTATTTTAGCTAAGGAATTTGTAATTTACTTCAAAACTATCACTAATTTTGAAGAATGTTCTAATTAACTTGTCTCCAAATCAAGAATAAAAGACAGACGGCTTTTCCACTTTGAATCTCTGACACTCTATAATTAGTACTGAGAAACAAATTCAGAGACCTGAACATCTTCCCATGTGTTCCTATTAAACTGTTTAATAAGCTCAAATCATTTTTCAAGATGTACATTGCACATTTCCATTATTATTGTGAAACTTAAAAATGGTGTCTCAATTAAGACAATACATCAAATCCACTTCATTGCCTGCCTTTGATTCTTTTGTATTTTTGCTTTTTAATGGTGGTTTTTTTACAACGTGTAAGGCAATTCTAGAACTATTCCATAGTAAGAGGGTAGCTGCAGCTAGAAAATGCTAACTAGGCGACGAAGCTATGTAGCATTAAGTGTTTGGCCCATTGAGTTAAAAGCCCAGGTCTGAATTTCTCTCCAGTGATACTTCATAGGGCCTTTGAAATGTTCTTAGAATAAGAGGATACATTTTTTAATGAGTTAAGAGAATACATCTTCATTGAGTTAATGAAAAATATAGGCCATATTTATAACTTTTTATTTGTACAATGGTTATAATTATAGTCTTAAAAATAACTTCTCAAGCTTTTAATCTTACATTATTTTTCTTTTATAACATTGAGAAATTAAATATTTATTTAAATAGCATTTTTAGGGAGATAACATAAATTGGATTTAGTATTCCTAAATTCTAATCTAAAATCAGCAACTCTAAAGTAGTGAACTTATGTAGATTCAAAAGAAGATACATTTCATGGGAATTGGTCTAATCCATTTTAAGTAGTCTAATTTATTTCTTCCACCAATGATCTTAAAAATAAAATTAGGACAACTTACATGCTTTAAGTCCTGATTACTTTAATCACAGCAAGATGATTTTAATGAAAGAATATGAAAGGGAAGTGTTTCCTATGTAATTAACACATGTCCTCGGGAGTACAAAAAAAAAGTTGAATACAGTTTCTTGAGAACAAGCAAAAATGTGTAAGTAGGTCAATAAGATACTGGGAAAAAGAGCAGAGAAAAACCTATATCATAAATTGTGACAAAACCTAGCATTGTAAAATTTAATTCTGTCAATTCAATGTGATCATTCTGGATATAGTGGGTATACTGGAAATTTAAAAATATTTCCCTTCATATCTGAGCAGTTATATTTCTTGATAGTATTCAAATGGAATATCTTTAAGAAAAAATTATCCCTCTGATGTCTAATAAGAAAAAATGATTCTTAATATTTTATAATAGAGATAAGTATGAAAATGCTTTATTGATGACTGAAAACTAAAATAAAACAAACATAAATGAATATATTTAGAATAGATATTTCTATATCTACTCAGTGGTTTAAAATATATTAAGTGAGATAGATTAAATTGCAAAGTTAGTATATTAGACTCTATAATTTCAAATGGAATCTGCGGTTGAGTTCTAGAGAAGTTTGTAATCTCAAATAGTGTTCTAATACACTTTGATTTTTTGGACGTAAATGTTTTAATAACAATTTAAATCTTACAGAGAGGTGTTTTCTTACCTAACAAACATTATTTTAACTTTTAAAATACAGGCAGATTTGTCCACCTAAAGCAAGTGTATATACAGAAACCAACAGATCTGCTGAAAGAAATATAAGGTACAATGAACTATTTCTATGTCTATGCATTTGTAGAAATTATAAAGTATGTGCTAAGTATATGGTCAACCAGTCAACCGTTCAACCAATCAAAGCATAATATGCTAATGATATGCTAAGGCCGTTCAACCAATCAAAGCATAATATGCTAATGATATGCTAAGGTCCTCAACCGCTTGCTATGACATTCACTGACCACCAGGAGGCAGATGCTCCAACTGGTAGGTTAGCTTGCTGCTGGGGTCCAGCCAATCGGGACTGAGCCAGATGGGTGGGACATGTCCTGGAGCCCTCCTGTGGTTCCTCCCCGGCTGGCCAACGGGTGATGTCGGTGAGCTGGTTTTGGCCTGATCCCACAGGGGGAGCGTTGCTCAGCCAGAAGCCGGGCTCATGGCTGGCGAGCACAGCAGTGGTGGCTGGCAGGAGCCTCTCCTGCCTCTGCAATAGCATTAAGGATGTCTGACTGCCACGGGGAGTGGGCCTAAGCCATCATTCAGACATCCCCTGAGGGCTCCAGGACTGCGAGAGGGCACAGGCCAGGCTGAGGGACCCCCTCGTGCACCGGGCCTCTAGTTAATAATAAAATAGTTAGTTTTCCAGCTGATTTCAATATAGTGGGAAATAAGTATTCTTATATGTACCTAAGAATTCTATTTATTTAATTTCTATTCTAAGATTTACATAAAGAAAGCAACCAAAATTGTCTGAATGTGATAACAGAATAAGATTAAACCCCTTAGACAGAAAACCATCTCTTCATGTCCCAAGGTTGGTGTTGTATAAATGAAAAGGTAGAAATCTAGTCATTCGATTGAACTTGTTCTACAAAAGCTTTGCCCATGGTTGTATAAATAAGGTCACATCCAGCTCTACCTGCATCATCAGGAAGAGGCCCACAAACTGTATTGACAGCTTTGGGAAAGGTTTCCCCAGGACAGTCCTGATTCACACCTGTTGTCTTGCACATCTCTTCTAGTTTAGTATTTGTCTTGGATACATCATTATGACTTATTATTTAGAAAAAAATGCTTTTTGAAATTAGCTCTTGAGCCAGTGCTATTTTATAGACCTATCAATATGATAAGCCAATTTTTATTATTATAAGTTTACCATTTTAATCACTATGGTAAACCAATTTTTCAGTCAAAACTTCTTTTTGAAACATACATCACACAGATACCTTACCTATGGGAAACATCGTGTTTCTCTAGTATCTAGTAACTTAAGGTGCAGCTCTACTTCAACATTTCCCAGACTGTGTCCCATGTGCCACCCGATGCTAATGCATGTTCTGCAGAGGAAGGGTTCACTGGCCCAACACATTGAGGAAATACAGAGTTCTCTGACATAAGACTTCTCAAAGCCTGTAGTATGCATGTGTATCTTCTGAATCTCCAAAGGGGATTCTCCTTTGGAAGCCTAAGAAGACAGTGCCTCTTCACCTCATGTGAGGGATGAATCAATCTCTGAATAGGCTGCTTAATGCTCGTTGGTTCCGGTAGAAAAAGTTCTGAACACACTTCTGTGTTTACTTGTGCAGTTAACTGTGTTTTCTTTTCCACATCCTTCTTTTTAGGTATAGAACTTCAGCCAATTACATCTTAGGAGACACTGTAGTTGTTTCAGTGAGCACTAGATGGCAGAACCAATGCCCAGGTGGAATGACAGAGTGGTGTGTGTGTGTGTGTGTGTGTGTGTGTGTGTGTGTGTGTATGTGTGGGTATGTGTGTGTACCATGAGCTGATATTATAGAACTATTTTGTTATTCAGTTAGACTCAATAATCTCTAAATATCACATGAACTATGGCTTTTTTTCTCACTGAGAACAGATGAGAAATGTTAGCTGCTTCAAGGTTAGCTCTACTGTCATTGACCTGTATTTACTTTTCATTGTTTGAAGTCGTCAGGATCTGGAGAACATTGTCAAAGTGGCTACTTCACTTCAGAGAACTGACAAGGGGTGAGATCTCAGAGCTTTGAGCTTGTTTTTTTCTTCTCTTTATGTTTCAAAATGCTTTACCAGTACCTTAAAGTTCCCAGTATAAGCAACATTCTGATGTTTGTAATATAATACAGAATATAAAAGAAGAAAGAATCAGTGGCTGTGGATGTGTCCCTGAAAAATTTGCTGATATTTATGGATACTTTTCTTCCTCTGCTTTCTCTTCTGGTGACAGTACACAGCCTAGTGACCTCAGCTTCCATGGTCTTGACCTCATTCCAAACCACCAGTCCTGTAATTATGTTGCTTGTCCGATCTCTTTATCTCTCTCCCAGCACTCCCATTTAGCATGTCCTAGGCCAGATGTCCTCAAACTTTTTAAACAGGGGGCCAGTTCACTGTCCCTCAGACCGTTGGAGGGCCGGACTATAGTTTAAAAAAAAACTATGAACAAATTCCTATGCACACTGCACATATCTTATTTTGAAGTAAAAAAACAAAACGGGAACAAATACAATATTTGTATTTGCATGTGGCCCGCGGGCTATAGTTTGAGGACCCCTGTCCTAGGCCATATTCAACGTCCTTCCAAAAGAGGCTACTTCCCGACTTCTCCTCTGCTCTAATATTCATCTTTCTGGAATCATTCTTGATCTGTCCATGTCTTTTTCTCTCTATGTAACCAGACATATATGGATTAAATGTCTTAAGTATCCCTCATGCCATTTATGGCCTCACCCCTGTTCAAACTTTCATTGACTCCAGCACAGGTTATTAGAGTAGCTTGTCCAGATTTACTTACACTCCTCCAGTCTCTGCTCTCACTGCACTATGACTACCCATCATTCCCACCAAAGTTCTTTTTCTAAGTTTCTGCTTTAACCATACTCCACTGGCCCCCCATTTCCCACTCAATCACATAAAACCTCATTCAAGGCCCTTGCTGAGCTGGCTCCAACCTAACATTCTAGAGTTATTTCTGACTTTACCCTTACAGTTACCCTATATTCAATACCAAGTTAAATTATTTCCTTCCTATAGTTTCCAGATATTCTGCCATGTTTATGCCATTCTACCCATTTCCAGCCTCAAGGTCACCATTTCCATCCATCCAAGTCCTACCTATTTTTCAAGATCCAGGTCAAATATCACCCCCTCTGGGAAGTCTTCCCGGAGTGATCTAGTGAAGTGTGACTTCTGCTTCTCTAAGCAATTAGAGCTCCACTATTTATATTTTATAACAACTAATCATACTTGGTGCTATTTTGTGTTATTTATATAAATGTCTCATCATCTCTATCAACTCTATCAGAGAGGATATTTTTTCTTATTCATCATATGTCATTTACTGAGTCTGACCTGATGCTCTGTACAAAGTAGGTGTTCATAGAGTATGGCAAAATAATGATGCACAGTGAGAAAACCTTGAATATAAATATTTCATAGTTTAAATCCCCATGCCTACAAATTTTTTTGCTTCATGGAATTTAGCAATGCTTAGTGTTATTAGGGATTGCAGCCTCAGTTGAAAGAACTGCAGAGAAGAAACAGAAGTGGCACTTAGCTCTGTGCAAATTCGCAAACAGAAGAGGAGCTCTGAATCTGGAAGGGAACTCTAGAGAGTATCAGGAATGTTTCATTTCCATCTCTTCTCTCATCAAATTAGATCTCTAATTTTAATTATTCATTTTTGATCAAGGTAATATTTTGTTTTTAATAGGGTTTAAAAATAGATAGTTTTTGGTAGGTGAAAGGCAAGTTTAAGAGAGAGATAGGGGAGTGATACTGAAGAGAAATTATGGTTTCTCATAAATCAAACAAAGACAACGAGAGCTTCAGTCAGTTGAACTTTCCTGTCCACTCTCCCCAGCTACGATGCACAGATCCCAAAGCCAGATACATTCTTCTCAGAGAGAAGTTGCTGCTTTGACTGGGGGGCAGGGAAAATGTCTGTTGCATCCGTAGCTGAGTATTGTTCCTGTGGGATGTTCACAGGGACTAGAATAGCTTTATTTATCCCAGCTGCTCTTTGTGAAGTTCCTTTGTGAAATTCTTATCTGATTAAAAGCACTTAATTTATTGCAAATGCAATGGTGAAACTTAATATCCAAAGCTTTCATCAATTTAAGGTCATTTTAAAAGCTGAACTTCTTCATTCAGGATGTAATCTCTATTTTATTTAATTTACTACAGAGTATCTCCTCATGATTTATGCTAATTTTCTTGTGATAAACACGAGCAACCCCCAATCCTGATAATCTCATTATTGTGACTCATACCAGTCAGAAAGGTCTGTGGCTAAAATTTACAGGATTGTTAGGTTTGCTCTTTCCCTTGGGGACAGGGGCAGATTCACAGCCTCAGAGTTGGACGGTAGAATTTCAAGCAAGAAAAGACAATGGGGCATTGTGTCAGGGGCCTGGGTAATGTGTGTCCCACATAAAGAGAGAACATTTACTTTTTTTTCACAGTCAGTGATTTTTGTATTTCAGTATTTATTCTCAGCCTTCAGTCGTACCATAGAATACATAATATTACCTGAACAGGTTCAGCTATGTGATGGCTGTGGATCTAACGTGTTCTTAAGGGTCTCTAGGAGGACTGTTGTTGCTACCGTGTGTCAGGCCTCTTCCAGCACATACATGACTCAGCAACTATACCTTTCTAAGGCTAAGCCAATGTCTTGACATCTCTAAATGCAGTTCCAAAGTAAAAAATGAAAATTTTATTTTTGACTGGGAACTGTTTAATATAATGGCCAAAATTAATTTATGGCCTGCCAGGCATCATATAAGCACTTTATCCTCATTAGTTATTGATTCTGTGAGGTGGGACCAATTCATATTCTTATTGTACAGATGGAGAAGTCAAGGCAGAGGTTAGGTAGCTCACCCAGAGTCGCCAACTCGTACGTGGTGAATCCTGCACTGGATTCCAGATATCCAGGTATTCCTCACTTGGGAGCCTGAATGTGTAACTATCAAGTTACTGGGCCTCACAGCCTACTGGTAAACACCAGTAATGAATCAAGAAAAAAGAGAAACATTGAGAAAGTATGAAAAACATGTGGTTCTAGATCAGGAAGTAGAGAGAACCAAAATTTTTTAATTGAAAAAATGAATGAGGAACACCAGAGAAATGGTGGTGAAGAGGGTGGACCTACGAGGAAAGGATACACCTGAGGAGGGAAGAGGGCCATGAAACCCACTGAGGTTGCCTTCTTGGGACAGAGAGGTAAGCTCGTGTTTCTAAGGGATATTCTGGAACCCAGAGCATTCGCTTAGACAGGTTGCTCTCAAAGAAGCAGCCAGTGAAGACTTTACAGGACTCAAATACAAAAACAGGCTACCAAATTTAGCTGGCCTGGGATGAGGTTAACAAAAATTCAAGGAAGCAGTCAGACTTAACAATGAACAAGTGTTGTTGAATAGCTGCTTTGTGCAAATACATTGTGCAAGAGTAGGATCTACAATTAGCCAATGTACCTATATTTGTTGATTCAGTTAAAAACTGGTATTAAGCATCTACTGGATGAAAGACACTATATTAAAGACTGAGGAGGATCTGAGGTAAAACACAGTTCCAAATGCTAAGTGGGATATGTCTGTGTGCACACTTGTATGCACAGGAGCAGGGACAATTGTATGGGACAAGTCACAGTTGCCATGTTAAGTGCAATCATGTAAGTGCCCTAGAGGAGGTGCAAATAAACAAAATGCTGCTGGGATTGCAAACATGGAGGGACTCTGTTCAGTTGGAAGACGGGAAAGAAGTTCTTCGAGAAAGAGGTGTCTGAGGACAGCTTTGAAGGGTAGACAGCATCTTCATAGGTGATAGAGGTGGGATACGTGTTGTATTTCAGAGAACCCAGAAATAGTTGTTTTAAGGAGAATCTGCTCTTTGATTCTGGTCAGGCTTTGACTGATGTGAAATTTTCTTTTTCTTCCAAAAGTGAAGAATTGGATAATATAATCAAAATGAACAAAAGCTTGAATAGGTAAGATTTCAATACATTTACTTTTTGCTTTATAACTGAATTATATAGCGTGAGGACCCACATTCTGGGCTAGTCAAAAGTATCCTACAAATTTTGAATATAAAGCTGGTGGAAATCATCATTGCATCATTATTATGAATGGTTATTACAATGCAAAGATTCTAATATTAAAGTGACTTTGATTTTCACATTACAGTTGTTTAATAAAGCAGTTAAAGAAATAATCACATTTCTCTTCCTGAATGTTACCTTAATATATAAACAGAGTTTGGTTTGATCACTAACTGCTGTTAGTTTAACCATTACATAAACCACTTATTATCTTAGGTAACATTATCTCTGTATTTTGAATCATTTATAACTGCATACTTTAAAAATTATAAAAAATTGAGGTTTGTGTTAGAGATGTGTGGAGTTTAAACTATCTCTCTGTCACTTTGCATTCTAACATACTGAAGAGACAGGGACCAAAGAAAAGGAGAAAAAGCAAATGTCAAATGAGTTCATTGATCAAGAGATGTATTTTTCATATTCTGTTCTGACAATAATGATCCACATGAGAAGGAGGTATGAGGTCATGAATCACAGACTCAATGGCCTGTGGAGGCCAGGCCGGTGTAAATGACTGTATAAAACTGAGGGGAATGTCCTTTCCAAAGAGCACAGGTGCTCCCCAGCTCCCTCTGAGTATTGCCATGTGAGAATCTGAGCCCAGCATTGCAGGACATTTACAGGAGGTCCTGAAAATTCAGGTTTCTATAGGTCATGCCATCTTGTAAATATTGGCTCACATTAAAATAAAAAACACTCCATGACCCGGCTGGTGTTGCTCAGTGGTTGAGTTTGATTGAGGCACCAAGTGGTCACTGGTTCAGTTCCCAGTCGGGGCACATGCCCGGGTTGCAGGCTCCATTCCCAGTAGGGGCTCTGTGTCTCATCAATGTTTCTATCTCACTTTCCCTCTCTATAAAGAAATCAATAAAAACATATTTAAAAAAATACAAAAACAAATAAGAACAAATAAGAAAAAAACACTCCACGAACCCAAACAATACATCTGTGTACCTGTTATGGGTTATATATCCCCAATTTGTAACTTTTCTTTAAGCTCCACTGCAATTTAAATTTTGAGTCTATCAAAGTATCTGTTTGGAATAAAACAATTTCAAGAATGTGGCTCATCTTTCCCAACAAGCGTCTATTTCCTGCCTTAGATGTAAACTGGTCTATGTTTCTATAGAGTCTATGTTTCTATTATTACCACTGACAAGGTTTTTTTATTTAATACATTTGAAGAAATCAAGGTCTTGATGGCATCTTCAGAACAACTCCTAAGGCAGAGCAAATAGAGAAAAGGTAAGTGCATCTGTCTCTAACCTGAAAATGTGATCTCCCAGATTGCTTGTTTTATTCTGTCAGACACTAACTGGGAGGGAGTTGTATCCTCTGGCATGAAAATGTACTAGCAGATGGGGTGGTGCCCTCAGCATTGTACATTTGGTTCAGACATAATTGCTCAGAAGGATTTCTGCTCTTTTGTTCACTAAGAGTAAATGAGCAATTCATGAAGAATGTTTATTGTAGTTGACCTTTCAAGATACCACATAATTTTATTGCAATATGCAATTTTTTATTTGAATTTCTTTTTGTTTTACAGAGCCCAAAGCCTTGACAGTCTCCTCTTTCTGAATAGCCGGCCAAACAAAGATGGCAAAGGGTAAGGCCTGATTAAGACTCTAACAGGCTTCTCTGGTTGAGTCCTAGACTGTATTTGCTGAGGGAGACCATCTGCTCAGAACAAGGATCAGAAAGGCTGGTGGAACAGGCTGCCCAGTCAGGGTCAGGAGATGGGTGGATATCTTAGGGCAGGCTCTGCACCAACATCAATCTGGGTGACCCAGAGCGCGTCACTTAACCTCGGGAGACCTCTGTTTCCTTATCCCATAAAATGAAGGGTATGACCTAGATGATCCCCAATTAAGTTTCCTTTTAAATCTAAAAATGGGAGAAATCTGGCTGCTCCAAGTAGTGGACAAAAGGCTGGTTTATGAACTAAATATATTTATTATAAGACTTAATGCTAGGAGCACAGCCCTTCACCACTGATGTATTTATTGTACCCTAAGGCCATTTCCATTTGAAATCTTAGTTGAGTCACTTCATAATGTATATTTCAAATATATTTGTAAATATCTCAAAGTCAAAAGCTATGCTGTTGTTTATTTTGTCTCATTAAAAGGGTTCATGAATGATCAGTTACTGAACTGATAGCATTTAAGGGAGTAAGTTATAGTTCTAGACTTTCACTGGTGTATTAGAAAATTGACTTGTGTTACTGGTATTATTTTTTCATGTTGAAAGAAACCAAACTCTCGGCAGTGTCGTTAAAGAAAACCCCAGAACAGTCAAGAATGACAAAGGGTAAGGATTTATGAGAGCTCTGTTTTTACCCCAGCTTGGCTGTTTACTTTGTATTTGGTTAGTCACTAAGTTTGCCTTCCTCATGTGATAATTATTTCTTTTGTCTCAGTTACCTTTTAAAATTATTTATCTGTGCCAGTCTGCGCACAGAATGGTATTCTAGCTTTCCGTGTCACTCTTGGCAGATGCATTCTTGACTTGCTCTAAGGTGGAACACTGAAAGTCTATTTGACAAAAGTGTTAGCGATAATAATCCCACAGACATGGGATGCTTGTTAATAATATATTATTATAATGTAAATATGCAATATTATTACAAGTTAATTTTTCAAGTGGAGAACAGATGAAGTGGGAAACTGGTCAATTCTCTGTAAGCGATTATATAAACTTTGCAGGAAAAGGAGGGATTTCAGATATTTAAAAAATGAAGTTTATAAAGGTCCACAAAAGTAATAGAAAAAAGGAACAGTAGGGTAGGGTGAGCATCACAAGTAATCATTTCGTGGGCTAGAAAGGAGGACAAAAGTGATTGGTAATCTGCAATAGCTTAATAGCAACTGGGCTTTGATGCAGGAATGACTGATCATGTTGGTATAGTAGGGGGAGTTCATAGTTCCTTTTTATTCTTCCCTCTCTCCCTCCCTTCCTTCTTTCTTATTTTGAAAAAAAAATTAAAATGTCAATAGTCTTATCACAGTGAAATCAGAGATGGATGAAAATAGCAAAGGGGAATGCTTGGATAATTGGGGACTTGAAAGGGATAAGTTCTTATATTTCCTAATAGTTTTATGCTATTGGCATGTGAAAATTTTATTGGTTATGGTCAATTTATATAATATGCTAGAACCATCATAGTGTCACTTCCACTTTTCCAAGATTACTCAGAACTTTGGACTTTTTATTTTAAAACGACTTCTCTAAATGTTCAACTTAAAGAAGATTTAAAATGTTGATTATCTGACTTCTCCCCTGTTGTGAATGATGTTCATGTTTAAAGAAGACAGTGTCTGAACAGATATATTAAAGTTACTTCCCACCAACCCATCCATAAAGGACAAAGAAAGAAAAAGCTGAGAGCTGGAGGAACTTATACTTTTAATATATATATATATATATATATATATATATATATATATATATACACATAGATAGATAGATAGATAGACCTACTGGGGATCGAGCCCACAACCCAGGCATGTGCCCTTGACTGGAATCAAACCTGGGACCTTTCAGATGAGAGAGAATCATTGATCAGCTGCCTCCTGCATGCCCCCTACTGGGGATCGAGCCCACAACCCAGGCATGTGCCCTTGACTGGAATCAAACCTGGGACCTTTCAGTCTGCAGGCTGTTGCTCTATCCACTGAGCCAAACCAGCTAGGGCGGAACTTATACTTTTAAGCTGATTTAATCATAACTGAGGATGGTTAGGACCTTACTATTAAATAGTTACTATATCTCGTCAGCATATTGCAGGAGTAGAGCCCCTTGAACTCAATATTTCTAAGGACTTCCGATGCTTTGATGCTTTAGGTACTGATAACATCTTACTCCTGTTGTGAGAAATCTGCTATTTTCCTAAGAGATTGAATTGTTCTCTCTTTCTCTGTCTCTGTTGCTCTGCCCACCCACCTCTGCCCCAACGTGATCAAGAAACCAAGACCTTGGGAGTTTTATCCAAGTTAATCAAAGGGCTGACCAGTATGAGAAAGGGTAAGTAAAACTCCTACTTGATAGGGCTCCCTTTTTTTAGGTCAGCTTTTTACACTCATAAAAATAGGAGTGTTATGCTTTGCTCTGTCGCAGATGAAGTTGCAGTTTTAGGCCTATTAGAGATAACAGGCAAAGGAATAGGATGAATGTTGCTTCCATAGGACCACATGTTTGAGTTACATTAAAGTAAATTCAGGAAAACCTGCTACAGAATCTCTTATTCTGTATCTTCTTAAACAATTTAAAAATGACCCAAATGTTATATTTAAATGAAGAAATATAAAGGACAAAATTACAAAGTCAGAGGTATGTGAGCAAGTTTTTCTAAACTGATTTATAGCAAGTATTACAATGGGAATTAATAAAGATAAGCTAAGGATAATTGCATCAAAAGTTTTTCTGGTCATCGGGCCCTGGAAATGTCTGACACCCTTTCAGGGGCATTCTTGTTTGTATGGATAAAGCTCAGATGTGACTTAACTGGCATGATGTTTTCATGGTTTTCTAAAGAAGTCAAGATCTAGAAACAATTATCAAAGCAAAAACCAGGGCAGATAAAGCTAACAGAGAATGCTTTGATGTTTCTCAATCTTAGTTATTTTCATCCAGATTAATTGTGTGATCTTCTCAGTGATAATGAAAGGGTCACATCTTTAAATTTGTCTTCTCTCTTCTGTGTCTGACCCCTACTGCCCTGGCCTTCATTTGGAGACTCTATAGTACATTTTGTTTGAATTTACATTTACATATAGGCCAACTAAATCCCAAAGATTAATTTAACTACATTGTTTATAGGCAATCCTATCTAATAATAGACAAACATGGTAATTAACCCTACCTCCGACACGCTTCCCATTGGCTAATCAGGGCGATATACAAATTAACTGCCAACCAAGATGGCGGCCGGCAGCCAGGCAGCTGAAGCGAACAGGAGGCTTGCTTGCTCCAGTGATTGAGGAAGCCAAGGTTCCCCGCCTGCCGCTGCCGGCCTCTGAGTGCACTCTAAGCAACTATCTTGCAATTATAGAAGCTAAACAAACCCCAGAAACCTGCTTTCAGCCAGCCGGGCCTCAGAGCTGGAGTTGCAACAGTGTTTCATAGAAGCTAAACAAAGCCCAGACACCTGCTTTCAGAAGCCGAGGTCTCAGAGCTGGAGCCAAGCCTCAGAGCTAAAGCCGGCTCTTAGTTCCAGTGACAGCCATAGAAGGTAAATAAATCCCAGAATAAAAAAAGAAAAGAAAAAAAGGAGAGGTTGGGAGCTTCAGTCACCCGCCAGCCTGAAAACGGCCCTCAGCCCCTCACCCAGACTGGCCAGGCACCCCAGTGGGGACCCCCACCCTGAAGGGGGTGTGACCAGCTGCAAACAGCCATCATCCCCTCATCCAGGCTGGCCAGGCACCCAAGCGGGACCCCCACCCTGATCCGGATCACCCTTCAGGGCAAACCAGCTGGCCCCCACCCGTGCACCAGGCCTCTATCCTATATAGTAACAGGGTAATATGCAAACTGACCCTAACAGCAGAATGACTGGGAATGACTGGTCACTATGACACACACTGACCACCAGGGGGCAGACGCTCAATGCAGGAGCTGCCCTCTGGTGGTCAGGGCGCTCTCACATGGGAGGAGCTCTGCTCAGCCACAAGCCAGGCTGATGGCTGCCAGTACGGCGGTGGTGGTGGGAGCCTCTCCTGCCTCCTCAGCAGTGCTAAGGATGTCCGACTGCAGTTTAGGCCTGCTCCCCACTGGCAAGTGGACATCCCCCGAGGACTGCCGGGCTGCCAGAGGGATGTCTGATTGCCAGCTTAGGCCCAATCCCCTGGGGAGCGGGCCTAAGCCAGCAGGTGGTCATCCCCTGAGGGGTCCCAGACTGTGAGAGGGCACAGGCTGGGCTGAGGGTTCCCCCCCCCCCCGAGTGCACAAATTTTTGTGCACCGGGCCTCTAGTTTTATAATAAAAATGAATTTAATATCAGTATAATAATTTTCTTTAAAACCTTGAATATATATATTATATATATAAAATCTTATATATATATATTTTGAATTAACCATTAATAATATGAAATATATATGTGTGTATATATATATATATGTACAACACATAATACTGTTTGAAACTGATTTAAACTTTTAAAAAACTGGTGAAGACCTTGACAATGTTAACAAAATTAATCCCAGGGCAAGTGAAAATACCACTGGCTAAGACTTGTTAGTGCCTTAAATCTGATTTCTGTAAGTGACAATTCATAAGAAAAATGATTTAGCATTTTAACTTTACAGACATATTTTATTAGCCTGGAATTGGAAAATAGCAATGGGCCGCATGTCCTTCCCTCCTTGCTCTAAAAAAATCACTTATTTTTGAAGAAATGTCCCAATGTTGCCCTTTCTCCCAGATTTTGGACTTTGATTGTTTTTAAGGATGAGTTACTGAATTGAATTTCTTGTGCCCAGTGAAAGCACAATCTAGATAATATTTTCAAAGTGGACCTCCAAAGTGACAAAGATAGCCAAGAGTGAGGTTTGACTAAAATTCTGAAAATTAACTTCTCTAAGGATGGTGGTCTCAGAAGGCAGCCCAGTGGAGGGCTGGGCAAGTGCGCACAGTGGGAGTAAGGACATCCTCCCACTTCTTGTTCCGCTATGTGGACATGGCAGCAGTAGTCAGTCACATACTATTGCCATCCTCTACTGTCCCTTAGGGCTCAGCTTCTACTCCTTTTGGTATTATCAATGCATTTTAATGGGGGGAACATAATACAAGCCAATTCCTTTTTCATAAGGAATTGGCTTGCATTCAGGAGAGTAAATTGAAACATATGTCCTCTGAGAAGCGAGTCATTAATTTTTCTACCATTTAAGGTTGGTTGTTTTTTTTGTGTTTTTTTTTTGCCTTTGTAACTCACCGTAACTCAATTATCTTTAGAAGGTTTGAGTTGTGGGAATGGTTGAGTTTATATGAAAGGATATATTTTTATTATTTTAAAATATTTATTATTAATATTTATTAGTTTTGATATTTTAAAGTTTTTTATTAACATTATTACTCTTATTTAAAAAACAGAATAGGCAATTATATATGATTTATTGAGTAGAAATTTATATTCTGATTGGATCCAGCATAGAACTTTAACTTCAATGCTGACCATTTGGGGTATTCTTACAAGAAGTATCTGAGGACAGTTGATTTTGTTAAATAACAAGTTTCACATTTACTTATGCATTTTGAGAATAGAACAGAAAACATGTTTCTAGTTAACAAAAAAAAGGAAACTTAAATGGTCTCCAGCTCAAGATGTAAGAAAATTTTTATTTGCACTTAGAGCTTGAACAATTACAATGATAGAGAATTTGTACATTTACCACTCAATTTGTCCAATCATTGTTCACTTGATTAGTGTTTTATTTTAACAACATTCAGTAAAATTTATTTTCTTATTCAAAGAAAACAAGACCTCAGTGGGCGCATTAAAGTGAGTCCTGAAACAAATAAAAATATCAAGAGGTAAGACATTTAAAGCTTTTCCCTCCCTTTGTTTGGCATTTGTAAGCATATTAGCATCCCGAGTGCTTGTATTCAGGAGAGTAAATTGAAAATCAAGCCGAAGCAGAACTCTCTTTTCCTGAAACATTATATTAAGCAATTGTACTTTGCATACACAAAAATGATCTCTTGCATTTTATTCTTGGTTAAAGTTGGCTGCCAGGTGGATTTTGAGATATTAAATGGGAATTTTGACTGAGCTCTTCTGAGCTAAGTGATTTCTATGTATGTATGTATGTATGTATGTATGTGTGTATGTGTGTATAAGTAGTACATGTATAACAGAGTGGGACAAAAGTAGGTTTATAGTTTTTCATATGGAAAATAATGTAATAATTAATAAATAATAATATAAGAATAAACTCTGTTTCACATACTCACAACTATAAACCTACTTTTGCCCCGCCCTGTACGTATGTATGTGTGTACCTATAAGTAGTGTGTGTCTATAAGTGTATGTATTGGTTAGGGTTCTTCAATGAAGCAGAATAGGAGATAGATGGACATATAGATAGATATAGATAGACAGATAGGTGGGGAGAGAGAAAGAGAGAGCTTTATTAGAAGGAATTGGTTCATGCCGAGAAGTCTCAAGCTCTGTATTTAGCAAACTGCAGCTCCTAGTCCAAGTCTAAAGGCCTGAGAACCAGGAGAGCTCATGGTGTAAGCTCTTGTCCAAGGGCAGGAGAAGACCAATGTCGCAGATTAAGCAGTCGGGCAGGCGAAGTCCCCTTTTTCTTAGACACTTTGTTCTGTTCAGAGCTTCAACTGATTGGATGGGGCCTACTCATGTTAGGGAAGGCTATCTGCTTTACTCAGTCTAAGCATTCAAATGTTAATCTCATTCAAAACCTCGAAGACACACCCAGAATAATGTTTGACCAAATACCTGGGCACCCTGTGGTCCAGTAAGTTGAAACATGAAATTAGCCCTAACCGGTTTGGCTCAGTGGATAGAGCGTCAGCCTGTGGACTGAAAGGTCCCAGGTTCTATCCTGGTCAAGGGCATGTACCTTGGTTGTGGGCACATCCCCAGTAGGGGGTGTGCAAGAGGCAGCTGATCGATGTTTCTCTCTTATCGATGTTTCTAACTCTCTATCCCTCTTCCTCCCTCTCTGTAAAAAATCAATAAAATATATTTTTTTAAAAAGAAATATGAAATTAACCATCACAATGTGTGCATATGGAAGTATATGTGTGTATGTATATATAAGTAGTGTGTATGTGTGTGTGTGTGTGTGTAGTAGTAGTAGTGTATGTATGTGGGTGTGTAAGTAGTATATATGTGAACTGTCTTCACGTGTGTAGTGTATTTGTGTGTAGTATATGTTACGTGCGTGAAGCATGGTGTGTGATTAAGATGAAAAGTTTAACAAAGTGTACTTCATTAAGAGGTCTCCTACCCATGAACTGTCAAGTAAATCTGGAAGGCTTATGTCCTCTGATTTTTATTTTTTAAAAAGCAGATGGGAATAGATTTGAAACTGAGCTTATGGGCATGTTGCTGAAAACAGTGTACAAAATAGTTCCATGTGGTTTTAGTAGAACTCGTTTCCATTCAGTTAACTCAGGACATGATATTATTAGATTCTAAATGTGTCACTGATGCCTGTAGGCCCAGCGAGCAGGGCCAGGGCTGGGGCAGTGGCAAAGCTGGGGCACTCACTGCCAGCCCGTCCTGTTCTCAGCAGCCTGGCTTGGTCAGAGGCCCACAGACTGTACAACTTTGCAACCAACAGATGGAGAAGAAGGCATTGATTTCCTTGGCTACTTGGGTGGTTCAGGGAGGTATCTTGAGGTAGTGAGTGGGAACATGGAGTCCAAACAACTGAGACTCAAATTCTGACTCTGTCACTGGCTAGCTGTGCTCTGTGCCTCAATTTACTCATCAACAAAATAGGAATCATAATACTACCATGTCCAGCACATAGTAGATACAAGTAACTGTGAGCAGTAATAAATATCAGGTGAATTATGCTTTCTTAATAATTTATTTAGTGTTCAAATATTTAATTTACATTGACTCTCTAAGAAATACCCATTTTCCTTTCTAATTTTTATTAGACTATTTCAAATCATTACCTATTGTTTTTCATATGTTGGTATGTATGTGTGTACTGCATGCCTATGTGTGACATGTGTACACATACATACAAAAGTTTGTGGGGATTCATGTGTGTATGGTTATGTGTGCAGTATTCTGTAGATTTTTTTAAGTAAAATAAGATTATGTTCCCTTCCTTATTAAAAACTCTCAGCATTATCACATTTCAGATAGAATAAAGTCCTAACCCTTAGTGATTGATGGTCTTTTACTTGTTCAATAAGTCCAGCCAAAACGATCTTAGATTCCAGGCTCATTCCTACCTTATTGACTTTATGAATTTTGAAATTTTAATAACCTTACACTAATATGTACTTTATTTAATATGTTTAAAGAGATCAAAGTCTTGGCAATATAATGAAAGCAGACCTTACAACCAACACAAATATTACAAGGGAGGAGTTACAATGCTTATTGTTGTGTTATTATTTATTTATTTATTTTTGAGTACCCAAATGTGGACATAGAATCTTAGGAATTTTTATTTTCAGTCACTGGCATTTAAATCTCACATACTTGGTTTAAGCAAAAACCAACAAAGTTGTTTGAAAAATCAACAAGGAGTTTTCTGGAGTGGAATAGCTATTTCTGTCGGGTTAATTGTTTCATTATTTGTATGAAAAAGGTTCAAATAGTTTAGCTGCTTTTAGCCTGGGTATACACATTCTCAGACATTTGGATACAAGTAAAAACTTGAGTCAACATCTGGTTGCTTTCAAATATCTGTATCTTTGATGTATAGATGCAATCACAGAGACTTTATGATATGATCTTAGTAGGGCCACAGGGCATGGAGAAATGGTAAGAAAAGCAAAATTCCATTTAGATCAGATGCAGATACTCTAAAGCAGTGGTTCTCAACCTTCTGGCCCTTTAAATATAGTTCCTCATGTTGTGACCCAACCATAAAATTATTTTCGTTGCTATTTCATAGCTGTAATGTTGCTACTGTTATGAATCATAATGTAAATATCTGATATGCAGGATGGTCTTAGGTGACCCCCGTGAAAGGGTCATTCGACCGCCAAAGGGGTCGCAACCCACAGGTTGAGAACCGCTGCTCTAAAGGGTAACAATGAAGTCCTGACATGTCTTCAGGGACTATGTCGAGTTTTATATTATAGTAAATATATTTTACATTTCAGAACTCCATAGATTTTAATCTTTATATTGTTTGTTGCCAACACAGAACTAGTAAAAAATATGTAGTTTTAACACACAGTTGTAAGTACTAGAAGCAGATACCGGGCTGTATATCATGAACATTAACAAACCGGTATATTGATCTTAATCCATTATTGTGAATAGCAAACTTGCTAAAGAGTGTCATTTACAAAATATATATTCTCCAAAGTTAATTTGAAAGTTCCTCAGCATGTTGAAGTATGCTATTAAGAGGGTGCCTTCTGGAATGTGCCGTGAGACATATATAGGGACTACTACAAAATATTTAGTGCACCTGGCAGAGGTCAAGAGTATAGCATTAAATAAATCATGATAGAAACAGAGTCCTAGTATGACATTTGCTACTGGCATAATGGCTCCAAGATTAAAATCTCTCGCTGAGTCTCCATGAGTTTTAGAGATGCATAAGTTCCTACATTCTTCTGCAGTCTCCTTTACCAATCTCCAACTCTTCTACATGATCTCACTAAGTGTTAATACTGTTTCTGAATTTTAATAAATAATTTTGCCCACTTGTTATTAATCTCTCATTAACCTTTTATTTTTTTAATGTTTTAAAGGGGCCAGAGTCTTGACAATCTCAGCAGAGTGACCCCTGAAGTGAGCAGAAGTAACTCAGGGTGAGGATTATGTCTGATCATTCTTCCTTCCCCAGCCGCATCGATTTGTGGCACTCTTCAGAGAGGCTGTGTTGCAAAGTCTTTGAGTTTGAATCAGGAAGTCTGGGCTCCATTATTTGCCACATGGGTGCCTTGAACACGCTGGCTTAGGCCTCTATAGTTATAAAATGTTTCTCCCACCTTTGTCACTTGATTATTAAGAGAATGGATATAACAATAATGGGTATAAAATCCCTTTAAAGCAGAAATGCACTATAAATGTAAATCATTAACAAAAAAGAGTATAGCTATAGCATCAGAGGGGCCAGGTGAAAGTTTTTGGCAAATCATTAAATAATTTCTGAATATTTTTAAAAAAATCAATCTTGCCTACTTTTACGGTTTAATTTTAGGGTAAATGAGAAACTGGCCAGCGTGTCAATGATTGGCATAGAGGTCTTTTTTTTTCTCTCTTTTAAATGAAGGGCATAAACTGGTATTAATTCAAATACCAAAATTTAATAGTACAATTCATCTTGAGTACATATATTCTTTAAATTAATATATTCAGTTGATTTAATTCCATTTTTACTTACTATGTGTTTGCTTTTTGGTTTAAAGTTCCAAAGACCTTGATAACCTCATCCAAGTGAATCCAAGAACAGACAAAAGTGTGCAAGGGTGAGATTTAATAAGCTCTTCTTTCTCATTTCATGCTGACCCAGTGCTTAAAATAGAATTAAATCATCATTTCAGCTGACTGGCACTTGAGAGTTCAAAAAAAAGCCTTGTAACCTCCACAACCTTATATCTAAAATGTTAACAATTTTGGCCAATTAGGTGAATAGTTGTTTTTCCAGGATGGACAGGACACTTTTATTCATTGATTTGTTTATTTTGTTGAGCAGAGGGATGGCACAGGAAAGGGGAAAGAGAACTGGACTGGAACCTGCACATGTGGGTCCAGGCCTGGCTCTACCCTCACTCACGGTGTGAACCAGATCGGTTCCTCCCTGTTAGAGCTTCATTTTTCTCATCCTCAAAGGGAGGAAGTTGGACCAACTGCTCTAGTTATTTCCAACGCTAATTCCAATACTACGTCTCAGGAAGATGGTTGGAGTAATGGAAAGTGCATGCACTCTGGAGTTAGATTGCTTAGCTTGAAATTTCAACCCTGCCACCCTTAGCCATGTAGGAAAATCTTAATCTTTCTGTGTCTCAGTTTTTCCCTTCGTGAAATTGGGAGGATAGTTCTTCTGTCATAGATTTGAGGCGAGGTTTAAATCACATTAATTATGTAAATCACTTAGAACAGTGCCTCACCCATCACAAATTTTCTAAAAGCTTTAGTTATTGTTTATTATTTCTATGCAGTTATAGTTAGGGCCACAACAAATATATTCACAGTCAGCACAGAAAAACTTTAACCCTTTGAGATATCTCTGTTATAATAAATACTTCATAATAAAATATTTTATAATAAAAATGTCCCTAAGTGTTAATAAATATTTGCAACTGCATGATATAAATTGACCATTGATCTGATCATTTCTATAATGTCTTAAAGGGGCCAAAGTGTTGACAGCCTCATCAAGGTGGCTCCTGAAACAAACAGAACTAACCAAAGGTGAGGTTCATGGAACTCTTCTATCTCTTATCCCCCTTTTTTCTATTCAACTTAAAAACATGATAAAATTTATTGTCCCCTCAGTTGCTTAGAGTGTTGTCCGGATCTGCCAAGGTTGTGGGTTTGATTCCCCAGTCGGGGCACATATAAGAATCAACCAATGAATGCATAAATAAGTAGAATAACAAATCTGTATTACTCTCTGTCCCCTCCTCTATCTTTTTCCCTAAGATCAATCAATAAAAAATTAAATTAGCAACAATCATTTAATTAAATATTAAGGTTGAAAAAATATGCACATTATTGATTTTAGTTGATTTTACCAGCTATTGAAACTTATAACATTGTTTTAGGAACCAAGACCTGAACAATCTTATCAAAGTGACCCCCTCAGCAAACAAAAGGTAAGCTTATTAAGATTATTCAAGACTCCTGAGCAACTCTCCAATTTATGCCAAAAAATAAAATTAGTTATTTGGCTAAGGACATTTTGCAAGGGGACATGAGAAATAAAGAGAACAAATTAATTTGTTTTTTTTGTTTTGTTTTATTTTGTTTTCAATCCTCACTCGAGGACATTTTTCCATTGACTTCTAGAGAGAGTGCTAGAGAGGGAAAGACAGAGAGAAATATCAATATGAGAGAAACACATTGATTGGTTACTTCCTGCATGCACCCTGACCAGGGCCAGGGCTGGGGAGGAGTCTGCAACCAACATACGTGCCCTTGACTGGAATGGAACCTGGGACCCTTTGGTGCACAGGTAGATGATCTATCCACTGATCCAAACTGTCTAGGGCAAATTGATTTGTTGATGTATAATAATGCTATAAAGATTTTTCTTTTATTATTGCTTCCATTTATTTCATTAGAATATTGTTTAAAATAATAATATTGAAGCTAATTCTGTATAACTAGAGGCCCGGTGCATGGGTTCATGCACCAGTGGGGTCCCTCGGCCTGGCCTGTGGGGATCAGTGGACCTCTACACCTCTACAGCCCGGCCTTACCTGCCAGCTCATGGGGGAGGGGAGTGCAGAGGGAGTGTCCGGGGAGGAAGCTTGCACTACTGCAGCGGTGCTCCCAGCCCAGCATCTGGCACCTGTTGGTCAGCTGAGAGGCGCTCCCGCTGTGGGCTGTGGGAACACACTGACCACCAGGGGGCAGCTCCTGCATTGAGCGTCTCCCCCCTGGTGGTCAGTGTGCATCATAGCTACCAGTCAGTCATCTGGTCGCTTAGGGTTTTTTTTTTTTTTTAATATATTTTATTGATTTTTTTACAGAGAGGAAGGGAGAGGGATAGAGAGTTAGAAACATCGATGAGAGAGAAACATCGATCAGCTGCCTCCTGCACACTCCCCACTGGGGATGTGCCAGCAACCAAGGTACATGCTCTTGACTGGAATCGAACCTGGGACCCTTGAGACCGCAGGCCGATGCTCTATCCACTGAGCCAAATCGGTTAGGGCAGGGTTTTATATATATAGATTGCTACTTGAGAAATTCATTTTGACACAAAATACCAAAACTAGTTTATTATTGTAAATTTACAGTAAATAAATATTAAGTTTATAAAACTGAATAAATTAAAGAATATTGGCTTTCTACTCCTTCACAAACCCAAGGATTATGACTCCTAAGAAAATCAGCAACATAACATTCTTATATTTAAGATACTTTTTGTGACATTGAATTTGTTTCTGTCTTCTTGAGAAGTTAAGACCCATTATACAATGGAACAGAAGTTAAGAAAAGCATGACAGAGCAGCTAACTCCAAGCTACCTTTCATTCTTGGGAAGATAATGTCAGTGAAAAGCCCTGTGCAGATGTAAAGAATCATGAACAGAGAGAGGGGAAGGGTGTTAGCAGAAAGGAGCATGGGGTTTGGGATCCAGTTGCCATGGTTTCAATCTTCAATGCTGGGGCAACAGCATCACAGTGTTTCAATCCTGGTTCACCCTCAGTCACTTCTTAGGTACCTGGCCCCCAGCAGTGTCTTAACTTCTCTGAAGTCGAGTTTCTTTATTTATAAAGGAGGGGTGATAGCAAACGTCTTATTAGGTTGTTTTGAGGATTTAAAGAAGATAACTAATGCATATAAAGTAGAAACAGTAGATTTATCGCTTTTTATGTAGATTCCATTGAATGATTCAAGTGGCAAAAGAAAAAAAACTCCAGTCATAAAATTTGCTGATTTCCATTTGAATTTGATCTATTTTATTTTATTTTATTTTATTTTAGCAGTGAAAAAGTTCTTAATACATTTAGTAATCTAAGCCCCAAAGCTGTCAGTAAAAAATGGCTGGGTAAGAGAAGGATGTTTCTTTTTGTTGTTGTTGTTTTGTAATGTTTTGTTTCTCCTTAACTAAACACAACAAGAATATAAATGACTTATAATCATTCTATTTACAAATGGAATAAGTCTTTTAAAAGCATCATACATTTTTAAATTAATTAATTGTTAACCCTCACCCAAGGATATGTTTTCTCTTGATTTTTAGAGAGCGTGTAAGGGAGGGAGAGGGAGACAGAAAGAGAGAGAGAGAGACAGAGAAACATTGATGTGAGAAAGACATTGATTGGTTGCCTCCCCCCCACACCCAACTGTGGCTGGGTTCACACCTGCAACCCAGGTACTTGCCCAAGACCTGGAATCAAACCCACAATCATTTGGTGCACAGACTGGCGCTCTAACCACTGAGTACACTGGTTGGGGCAAAAGCATCACAGTTTTTAAATGTCCCTGGAAATTTAGATTACCTATTTGTTAATAGCAAGAAAGAGAGGCAGCTGAAAAAAATATGTGGTGGCTTCACTTTTTTCAGCTTCAATTAAAGCAATTGAAGAGAGTGATTGTAGTAGGAACATAACTGGTCTATGTGCTGTTTGTTTTGTAGAATTGATATTAATACCTTTATCTCTTGAATTAATTAAAAAATAATATAATTTAAAAAAACACTCAGACACTTCATTAGACTCATGGCCAGCAAATATCATTCATCCTTGTTTTTGAAGAGTATTTTTTTGATACTTAGTGGAAACTTTATGATGTTTATTGTTTCTTAGATGGTTTGCTGCTCCCAGCAAAGTTATGGCCCTAAATTTTGATAATTCTTTAAGTAGTACACATGTGTAAGATGATATAATTCACTTTTTGTCTCTGGTTATATGATTAGCTTTATATAATTATACATTACTATTATATATGTTATATACTATATCTTGACAATGTTTTCATGATTTTTCTTCTTGAGTTTAGTTGGTACATATGAAAATTGCAAAATCTTAGAGGTGAAATGAAGGAACTTGAAGGAACTCATATCCCAGTTAGTTTGAACAATTTTGAAAACCTCTGTTTCAATTTAACCTAATCAATTTACAGAAGAGGAATTTAAGATTCAGAAAAGGCAGGTGATTTAACTAGGGACGTAGAGAAAACTGGTGGGATACTGATAGTAGTTCTGTGCTCTAAGTAATTATTGAGCACCAACTGGTTTGAAGCTTACAACTACTAGTAGGTGTCATGAGTAGCACATGAGATATAATTATAGGCCATGAACGCCACAAAGAGAATTCAGTAGACATACTGAATCCTATTAACAGCAGGCAATTATCATAGATTAAAGCTAATTATATACCAGAGATGTTATTCCGAGACAATAATAGGTTGTCAATTTAATATATTACATTTTAGAATACTCATGTACTGCTTGCTGGATATAGAATGCATTCTTAGTGCGTTACATTTAAAACTAAAAAAAGGCATTGAATAGCTAACTTAATAAACATGACAAGTGGTAAATTTCAGATTCATAGATTCCTAGGAGTAGAAGATATTAAAGATGGGCAGAGCCTTAGAGATGACCCGATCCAATCTCCCCATTTTACAGATGAGAATACTGAGGCCAGGGGCAAAAATCTGTCTTCTGTGAGTTCTTCTAATTTCTAGCCTAACTCTTAGCCTGACTACCATTCTTTGAACCACAGCACACCGACTTTGATCTTAAAATAAATGAAAGTTAATTGAGAACCTCGGGAAACAGAGGAGGCTATAAGGCTGGGATTATTGCTCTTGCCATGGGACAACCAGGAGGTGTCTTTACTGCTTTAAAGGGTCATTTGAATGATTACTTCATAGAATGATTACTGCCAAGTACTTTACAGCTTTTAGAGTACATGGAAGTAATAATATGTTTTAATATTCTAGTGTGTCCCTTTACTACATCCTTAAGGCAAAATAAATGAAATCAGTAACTTCAGTAGAAAACATGTTATATTTTTCCTCGATAAAATGTAGATATAAGATTCCTGTGGTTGTAGGTACCCAGGGCCTGAAAAAACAACTCTATAAATTTGTTGTTTTCAATTCATTGAGATAAATTGCATGTGCTGTCAATCAAGGCAATTCAGGACTGTTACTGAGATCCTTGTTTTATTAACACACAGTATTGTCTTTTTAGGACTAGGAATAGAATATAGCGTACATTTATGTTTTATAAGTTAGTATTTCTCAAACTGTGGGTTGCAACCCATTAAAGGGTTTTGTAATTAATGTAGTGAATGGCAATCAGAATTTTTTCTCAATTAAGTGAAATGAATTAAATAGAGTAGAAAATGAGAGTTCTTATGTAGTGAGGGTATTAGTTCATGAAATTTATGTTCATTGTGTGTGTGTCTGTCTGAATAAAGAGAGTATTGGGCTGTGATGTAAAATATATTTCTTTCTCTTTTTTTAATTTCCTTATTGGGCTTCACAATCACTGTTCTAGGTAGTTGGATGAATCAAATTTTCTACGTTCAGCAGAACAGTTAAAATGGAAGTTCTGTTTATGGTTAATTTTATACATTGAAAGATTCTGGCTTTTGAGCATATTATCTCCTCTAAAAAGTTTCATTCTTTGTATGTTTTTCTTCTAATATGTCAGATTAACCTAATTTTAAAAATTGTTATCTTTCAGGCATGGTTTTGCCTTATGACATATTGATAGATTTTTTTGCAATGGATATTTTTCATATGTTAATCATTCTTTTAATAGTGATTGTAGATACCAGTTGATTATTTTTGAGAATAATATTATTGAAGATAATTCAAAAAAGTGAAAATTCAATGAGTGGCTTTCCGCCTACCACAGAGATCTAAGAAAGGTGTTCAACTGAGTGAATCCATGGGCTGGTGGAAAGCACATCCTATGGAGAGGCCTAGTCTGGGGACCTTACTCAGACCTTTTTGATGATTAACCTCTAAGAGGCTCCCCTTCCCTCACATCAATGTTTTCCATGAGTAAAATATATTTTATTTTTTATATGATTAAAAAGGGTTGGAGGGAAGGCAGTACAGGCAGGTTGCTGTCCAAGATGCTGCTGGGAGCAGATGTCAGTCCTGTGACCTCTTGACATGGCAGGCCATTGTATTTCTTTGAATAGATATTAAAAAGGAGTTTAGAGGAACACTTTGAAAAGTCACAACTTTCCAGCCTTTAAAACAAGGCATTATACACAATGAGGCAGTGAATGTTGGCGAACCATGTGAAAGCAAATATTGTTCTGCGACAGGGAAAAGAAACTGGTAGGACTTCAAATAGGAATTGGACATTTTCAGAGGATGTTATTCATTTGACCATGAACAACAGAGTTTAATTTGGTTTTGCAGTCATCATAGAGGGAAGAAAACTCAATTTTGATGGATTGCCAAATCTTATGTTAAGTGTAATCCTAATTTTAGAGCATATATATATATATATATATATACTAGAAGCCTGGTGCATGGATTCATGCACTGGTGGGGGGTATGGCCTTCAGGGATCGGCCTGCTGTGGGAGCACGGCTTATCCTGGTGGCTGTGGACCCACCCTCTGAGCAGCTGCTCCTGCTGCAGGAGCAGCCACTCATCCCAGTCAGCTGAGCAGCACTCCCACTGTGGGAGTGCACTGACCACCAGGGGGCAGCTCCTGCACTGAGTGTCTGCCCCCTGGTGGTCAGTTTGCATCTGGTCAGTGCGCGACTGGTTGCCCGGTCGTTCTGGTTGTTTTGCCATTCGGTCACTGGGCTTTTATTATATAGGATATTTAGTTGATGAATATGATTTTTAAAATAGCAAGGTCATTAGAATCAGTTTGTATCTTCATAAAGTGAAAACATTTCAGAGTGACTCTAGCTGGTTTGGATCAGGGGATGGAGTGTTGGCCTGTGGACTGAAGGGTCCTGAGTTCAATTTCTGTCAAGGGCCCATGCCCGGGTTGTGGGCTCGACCCCCAATAGGGCAAATGCAGGAGGCAGCCAATCAATGATTCTTTCTCATCATTGATGTTTCTATCTCTCTCTCCCTCTCCCTTCCTCTCTGAAGTCAATAAAAAATATTTAAATTAAAAACACAAATAAATTTCAAAGTGTTGCTTAAAAAAACTTATTTCTAGGCTGTTCTGGGCCAAATCAATATGTCTCAAACTAAGTGATAAGATAACAAATCCTTTCTTCCTATTTCCAACCAACTTAAACCCTTATTACCACTAACCGAGCTGCCTTCATTTTTTTCCACTTAAAGAAATCAAGAACTCAACAAGCTCATCAAAGTGAATCCTGAAACTCTCACCAACAATCAGAGGTAATAGAACTGTACTAATTTTTCTGCTTTAGTCAGGAAGACTATTTTGTCTTATCAGTGTTCTAAACAGATTTATAACCTTCATGATCTTGTCAAAAGAACCTTCTCATTCATTGGCAATCTTTTTATTTTTCTCTAAAGAAACCAGGATCTCGATACCCTCATCAGAGTGAACCCCTCAGCGGTCCGAGGCAGTCAGAGGTGATCACATAAAATCTGTCATATCATGTTTTCATGAGTCTGTGGTCCCAGGGTGCAGCGGGTTTGTAAAATGTTGCTTTGTTGAACTAGTACCACCAAAAACCCATCGCTAACCTGAACTTATTTTCTTCTCTTTTGAATAGCCAAGGCTTGGACAATCTTATTAAAGTGCAACCGTCCGCTCTCAGGAACACAGCACGGTTAGTGACTTTGCCTAACTATCATGACATGTTCTTAAGGTTCTGGGTTAGGTATTTTCTTTCTTTTCTTTGCTCGTCTTGTCTTTCTTTCTTGAAGCCTTTTATTTTTCTTTAGTGTCACATGGGGACACATCTATAACCCCGGTGTCTCCTATTCAGCAAGGAAACATGTTGTACCCTTCTGGAATCAATGTCGTGCTTCAGACTCAGTTCTGTACTTTTTATTTGCACCAAGACAATGTGGTGTTTGTTGTATTTAGGAAATAGACTGTCAGAACTGAAATGAAAAATGAGCGGAATTAAGTAAGAAAAAGTGTTTTGGGGAAACTGAGCCAAACTTACGGTTCATATTGATACCTCCTGAGATTGGAAAGGCTACTCAGGGTCTTTGAAACTACAGATTCACAGCTAGGGTAGGCTCACAATGTGACAGCAGATTTTAGCCTTGAACTTACAGTTGTGTTCTGCAAATATCTTATTGTTCATCATCTTCATGTCATATCATTCACCTAAAGGGCTTTATTAATAGTTAATAGATAAATGCATCAGAGTGCATTAGAAGGCCAGACTGTTCTACTGACATGAAATTTTATCAGAGGAAATATATAGATGGGAATCATAGTCTCAATCTTCTGCAGGGAAGAAAGCAATTAGGACACAGAAAAGTGCTTTAATCCAACAGGAGAAAGAGGATGGACAGGGCCATAGTCTCATTGATCTAGATCTTATGTCTCCTAGTTTGTTTTCGACATTAATGCTTTTATCCACTTTTTCTGTCTGTATGTTTTTATCTGTTGTGGGGGCTTCTGAAGCAGGAAGGTACAAAGGCAGTTGCTACTTAGACAGTAGCATTTATTGGGCACCTGTCATGTAACTGGCAGTTTACACATATTTAATCCTCACAACAAACCCATGAGAAATATATTCATTCACCCTATGTTATAAAAGAGGAAGCTATAGCTCAAAGATGTGAAAACACATTCTTGACCTAAACTCAGGTCCTTGTGACATCACTATCGGCAAGAAAAACAAAAGTTCTGTGGCTAAAACAGCACAGATTCTCCTTCTCTTTTAATTCTTTACACTCTGTACAGTCCCTTCCCTTATATCCCCCTCCACCTCTGCAATTAAAGAACTACATCCAGAAACATTAATTCTAGAAAGTTATTGTTAAAATGAGAGGGAGGAGAGAAAGTACTGTCTCATAGAGTTTTTCTAGCAGCTGAAATACCAGCAGACTTTTGGTGTTGCTTCTGCCACTGAAAATCATATGAAAATATCTTAATTAAGTAGAACCATTTCTTCATAGTGTACTGGTTGGGGCAGATTTCCTTTTTATTAGTTTTAGGAGTGATTAGGTTTAATAACCACATGTGGCTACTATAGCAAACTCTTCTCTCAGTGGGCCATTCCATAAAATGTTCTCTTTCCCTCCATCCTTCCCTTCCCTCCTCCCTCCCTCCCTCCCTCCCTTCCTCCCTCCCTCCCTCCCTCCTCCCACCCTACCTCCATCCTTCCTCCATTCCTCCCTCTATCCCTCACCACCTCCTTCTAACTTTCTTGTCCTTCCTTCCCTCCGTCTAGCAAATGTGCTATGTTGGCAGACCATGGTAACTTTCTCATAAGAGTTTTGCCTTTTAGTAGAAGAGGCTAATTTTATAAAAATATGGCTTCTATCAGCAACTCCTGATAACAAATATCTATAAAAAGAAGACATTTTTCTTACACAGATAGGATTTCTATAATTTTTTAAAAAATATTGGCCTTCATGTTGTTTTCAAATGGCAGCTTTATCCACAGATGTAACCTGGTATCTGATGATTCTTTAGTATTTACACCAGATTTGATGATAATCAGCTTGGATGTTCAAGAATTTTCTCAAAACAGCTGAGCAAGGAAGACTAAGCTGCCTATTTGAAAAAAAAAAAAGTGACTTCCTTCCGTTGGTTCAGCCACTGTATCTATCATGTATTTATGCTGGCTGCTTGATTTCAGGGGGTAAAGGGAGAGGGGTCATTTTAAAGTGCCTCCCAGTGGGAATAACAGCCACAAGGCACTTTTACATCCAATTCAATGTGACGTGAACACTGATTATGTAATAGTGTAACAGCAGCGAATCGGAGTTCTCTTTATGGGACTTTTCTGACATTTCCAACAGCTGTGTATTTCATTCGCAGTTAGGGGCAGAATAAACTTCAGCCATTGATCAGAATGTAAGCAGGTGTCCCTGAGCTCCTTCTAAGAACACAGCAACCCGAACAAATGCAGATGTGCCCAGAATTTTCATCTATTCAAGGAGAAACTGCAGGCTCTTAGCAGTGACAGTTTCATATCTTCATGAAATAAGAGATACTAAAGGGAGATATTCAATTATTTGTAGCCTGTAAACTGCTGCTCCCAAATGAAGGTTGGGAAGCATCTCGTGACATTTAGGCCGTTACAGTTAGAAAGCGCATCCTTCATCTGACATAGAAAAATACTCTGAACTATTGGAAGTATTATCCTTCCATCGTTTTAAAGGCTTCCCATTTGCTGAGACATACCTCCTTGTTTTCAGTATTCCAACAAGAGCTCCTTCCTAATTTACATTTCCCATATTTCTGCTCAAGTCAGAAAGCTAGAGGGTTGGGGAGAGGGTGACACTGACTCTCCATTGTTTCATCCCCCATAATCAATAGGTCACTTGGATGCTTCTAATTATCTCAGGAACTGAGATATTTCCTCAGCCCCATGACTACTATAGTCTAGATGACTGGGCAGTCTCCTAACTAATTCCTCAGCCGCCTGTCATACTTTCTACCCTTCAGTCCATTGGCCACGTTGTAGAGTGATTTTTCTAAAACACCAATCTGATCACCTCATTCTTCTGATTAAATGGCTTCCCATTGCCATTGCCATTGGATAATGTCCACACTTCTTAACCTGCTTTCCAAAGCCCACCCCATCCTGCCTCCACATCCTCTATTATGTTCCACCCACAGACCCTAACTTACCCACACTCCTCAGGCCTCCTTCAGGGCTATTGTGTGGTTAACTTTTGCTTATCCTTCAGGTCTCAGTTTAGGCATCTATCTCTCGGGCTCCGGAAGGCCCCACCCCGTGCCATCACATCTGTATCAGTCCTTCTGTTCTCAAATTCTCCATCCTTTCTGTCCCATAGCATTTGTCTCTTAGAGGAAATGGTTACTTACTCATCTTTCAACTAGAGGATTTTTAATGGTAATATTGAGTGTCTTGTTCACTTCTTTATCTACAGTACATTGTACAATGCATGGCTCATATTAGGTGCTTAATAAATATTCTGTGGATTAGCGGCTAAATCTCAAACTAACCAAGTCCTTATAATCATCCTCCTAGATAGTCTATTGATTTTCAGCTCTAACATTCTGAGCCCCATGAGTGAAACCAGAATGAAGAATCTGGTGTCTTCTACGTGGTCTCCTTTAGCCAGTGATCATCTCCTGGTCATGGCATAATCCCAGTGAACCATGGTGAATTAGAACCATTAGCATTCTTGGTCACATCTTATATTTAAAATATCTAAAATTTCCGATTTCTTTATGGAACTGTCAATTTCTTTAATATATAATCTTTATGACTCCATCATTGAAAAGAGTTATAAAAATATATAAAGCTGGGCCCATTTGGGGGTGTCAACAGAGTTGAAGAATTATATGGTTATCTCACTGTATTCTATACTCCTTTCAGAGAGACAAATTTTCCTTTTGCACTAAAGTTAAAGCCTCAGATTTAGTTCTTGGCATGAAAGAAGTACCATAGTAAAACTTTTATATGGAGACTCTTAATTTTGCAAATGTGTTTGATACTCTATGAAAGCAATTTAAATAAGCTGAAGAGAGAGAAACATATTGAGGCTTTTAATAACTACCTCCCACATCTCATGGTAGAGGAAGAGCAGTTGGGAGTGAGCTGATAACTTTCTCTCATACAATGCTTATCCTAGAAAAAACTGTCTAATAAGAGACCATAATTAAAGGGGATCAAATATATGGTGATGGAAGGAGGCTAGACTTTGGGTGGTGAGTACACAATGCAATATACAGATGATGAATTATAGAATTTATACTTGAAAATTATATTATATTATTAAATAGTGTTACACCAATAAATTTAATTTATAAAATGAGACAATAATACCGTGGTCCCCCAAATCTCTATTTTCCCTTACTCTGCTCTGTAAAGGACAGTGGAAAATAAATTACATAAGGAGAACACAGATAAATGATTATATATGAAATTTATGCTATGGTTCTACATAACAACTAATATTTTCTCCCAAACATTTTGAAATCTACATAAAGAAAAGCATTATTAGTTGCTATGGTTAACAAAATTTCTTTTTAGCATTTCTCACTGTGTCCACAGAGAAGTGATGGTTTTTCTTTGAGTTAATTCCAGCTGCTCATAAACTATACAATTATAAGGTGCAACTGACACAGAAAGGGTTTAGAATTAAGCCTTTGCTCAACCCTGAAGCACTTGGCTAGGCTTCTATAAAAATCTTTTTTTCACACTTTGACTCACAGCTTTTTATCTTCTACCACAGTGTAAAAGACAGGATGCAATAGATGTGGTCTTAATTAAAGAATGAAATTTATTTTTATATCCTTCAGCTTGAGAAGTTTATGGGCAATCTGAACTTCTTTTACTGGATCTTCAAATCTAGCTAATGACACCAGTCAGGATGAACAACCAAAGCAGATACACATTTTATACTTTACGTAATCTAGAACTTTTTATTTTGCTTTAAATATTAGTGTAGACTATTCAGAATTAAATCTTATAATCCCCCCTACCAAATTGATATGTGACACTGTTTATTGAAAACTCCACTAATAATATGGTTTATTCAATGATTCACTCTGAGGCCACTTTGGGAATGTTCTTCTTTGAAGGCATGCATAGGTTCCAATTTTGAATTATCTATCTATAATTATTGCATTTGTAAGATTCTAGTTTCTTCTCTTTCCTCAGGTTTAAATCCATTCCCATTCTCCCTCAAAATAGCTAAGGTCCAAAAAGACTTGGGGGGCAGGGAATGGGAAAAGTGTAGGAGGAGGTGGAAGAAGTGGCAGTGGGGAGTGGGAGTGGAGAAGAAAACACAGTACCTGCAACAGGCAGGAGTAAAACATGCTGGAGGAAGTGAGGATGCCCACCATTGGGCTGAGAAACTAAACCTAATCATGTTGTGAGGGCAGAAGCAGATCTGTATTAGTTTGCTAGGGCTGCTGTAACCAGAACCACAGACTAGATAGCTTAAAACAGAAATTTATTTTCTCACAGTTTTGGAGGCTGGAAGTCCAGGATCAAGGTGTCAGTAGGGTTGGTTCCTTCTGAAGACCGTGAGTGAAGGATCTGTTCTAGGTCCCTCTCCTTGGCTTATAGAAGGCTGTCTTCAACCTGTGTCTTCACAGTGTCTTCCATCTGTGTGTGTCTGAGTCTAAATTTCCCCTTCTTATAAGGACACCAGTCATACTGAATTAGGGCCCATCCTAATACCTCATTTGAACTTGATTACCTTCTTAAAGACCCTATCTCCAAATAAAGTCACATTCTGACATAATGTCATTAGGATTTCAACATATGAATGTGGTGGTGGTGGTGGTGGTGGTGGGGTATTATCCAACTTATAACAACATCCCAAAATAAGGAATAAGGTCATGGCCATGTGTCTCTACTCTCAAGTTGCAATGAAAAAGGTTCTCAGTTCATCCAGGGTTAGCAGAGAATCACTTTCTGGGACAAAATTTTAATTTCTCAAGATTCACATTTTCTCGTGATCTCTCACTACTTACTATGGTGTTCCCTAGTTTGGCATTCGTAGGAAGCTGGATTATGGAATACCATGATACTCCACTTTTTTTATTCCATTATCCCCAAGTATTTAGTGAAGTGTTATTTAAAAATGTTAAGGGCAGCCCTAGATGGTTTGGCTCACTGGATAGAGCATCGGCCTGGGGACTGAGGGGTCCCAGGTTCGATTCCGGTCAAGGGCATGTACCTTGGTTGCAGGCACATCCCCAGTAGGGGGTGTGCAGGAGGCAGCTGATCGATGTTTCTCTCTCATCGATGTTTCTAACTCTCTATCCCTCTCCCTTCCTCTCTGTAAAAAATCAATAAAATATATATTTTAAAAAATGTTAAGGGCAGAATCACTTCATGCCTAGGCTATTAAGATAGTACAGTGGCCCCGGAGGCCAATAACGTGGCACTAGGGAGTAGTGAGGGACCATCAGGGGTTAGGCAAATGCAAAGCCTTCCATCTCCATTGCTGAATTTGAAGGATGTAATCTAGGAGGTTTCCTTATACAGTTCTAGCAGTTACGTTGAGGAAGCCATTTTTTGAATTTTACATATTCAGGCTGCAGAGTCAAGTGATTTTGATACTTCTGAGAGATTTCTGTTGGAATCCTATACATTTTACATATATCAATTGGCATATTTCCTACTAAAAGTGTGCAACTAGTATTTTAAACGTGAGGAGTAAGTAAGTGTAGCTAAGAAATGTTGACTAACTTGCAGATTTATCAATTATCAATGGTTGGGTGTTATAAAAAAGAATATCAAATCTTATTTCATATATAAGATAATTTTGAATATTATTTTTCATCCATATAAATATTAATTTTGTGAGTGAGAGTCCTTATACTGATTCCATGTAAAATAACCTTATTTAAGTCTACTATTCAGGATCAGAAGGGAGATTTACAAAAACTGAAATTCTAAGGATGTTAAAATTTAAAAGAAAGAGAGAAAAATGAAACAGTAGTCCCTCAAAATTTTGGAATCAATCATGCCTACTATCAGTGTTATAGCACAGATATACTGTAAATAACTACAATTCTCTTAACTATCATTTATCTATGCTTATTTAGTTCACCTACAATTGTAGTCATTGTGCCCACAAATTTTATTTACATTAACTCATTTGCTCTCACTGCAACCCTATAAGATTAGATTTTATTATCCTCGTTTACAAAAGGAAGCTTAGATAGGTTGTCAAACTTGCCCAAGGAAATAGGGGAATAGATGGCCTCACTTTGACTCTTAAATATATATATATTTGAGTTTAGAGAGGAAGGGAGAGGGAGAGATAGAAACATCAATGATAAGAGAGAATCGTTGATTGGCTGAATCCTGCACACCCCACACTGGGAAAGAATCTGCAACCCAGGCATGTGACCTGACTGGGAATCTGACCATGACTTCTTGCTTCATAGGTCGATGCTCAGAACCACGCTGGCCAGGCCATTCAAACTCTTAAACTATGTTCCTAACCAACAAAGTTCATGACAAAGGCTTTTTCAAACTCATGGGGGGAATAATCAGGAATTATCAGTGTTATAGCAAAGATATACTATAAATAACTAATATATAAATCACATACCACAGGATATTTATTGTAACTTATGAAAGTGTGTCAAATCATAAATGTAGCTCAAAATTTAAGAGTTTAATTGTCCCATTTATCCTGCACATTATGAATTATTGATTCAAATTTTGTGTTGATTTTTCATGTTCCTGTAATCCAAAAAGCTGGAATGAAGTCTCTAATTAAATATCCAAGAATTGATTTCAGATGGACAGGTGGCTCAGCCTCAAATCTTGACTCTTTTACAAATTAGTTAATTGACCTTGGAAAATTCACTTAGCCTTTCTGAGCCCCAGATGCTGTCCTGCAAGATTTTGTGAGATCCGAATGAGATAATCCATATGGAAATATGCAATTAGTACTTTGTGACACAAAGTGGTGCTCATTGAATATTCACTGAATGAATATCAATCAGTTGTTTCTTTCCAGACCAGATTTCTCAAACCTTCCAAAGATTAGTTCTTTGTCTCATAACATCATGTTCTCATCCTTGAGTTGTATAGATCAACAGCTCAATGTCAGATTTTTACTGTCCCATAGCTTTATACCACAATATCTATGTCTAAGATTGTGTACTGAATTTTAAAGTTTTTATTCTGTTTTTTATTTCCTATATGAAATAATACAGTGCTTATCCTAGATAATTTTCCTAAAATTATATTGTAACTAAAAATAGATATGTATATAATTTATTTTTTTTCTATAGAGATCAGGACCTGGAAAAATTAATTGAAGTAAATTCTAATGTACCCAAAAATAAGAATGGAAGGTAAGGCTTAATTTAATTTACTTTTATTTTATGAATTCTATCTGACCCTGCATAAATTATGTAAACTTGAAATGTTTTCTAAGGAATTGCACTATAGTATGGTATTTAAGTATAAATACTATCTCAACACAGAACAATGTACAAGGTGATTAATAAGCTGATATAGGAAAAAATTATTAAAATTCAAATTCTGTTAAAATTTCTGACTAAAAGCCTGCTGTCCTATTGCTTAGTATAAAAGGCATCATGAAAATTCAAATTTCTGCACTTGGCCTGTGAAGACTTATTTTTACTTACTGTTGCTTGGTAGATTTTCAGTGGTGCAGAAAACACACTGAGAATATTTTCCTTGGATGCCTGGTGCTAAAAGAATACACAAATTCACCACAGCCACAAAACAGGACCTAATTTTGAAATTTCTTGATACCACACAGTATAATGGCTTTAAAACTATTGTACCTTGGTTGCTTTTATAGGAAGGTTTGGGTAGAAACTATCCTTTATTGTTGTCACAGACTGTTTAAATTAGGAAAAAATAAAAAATTATTCCATGGTAGCAATTCTTTTCCCCATATATATAGAGGGAACCCTGAAACAATAGGGTCCTATTTTCTATCTTCCTAAGGTGCAGCTGCCTGTTCTGTTTAAAAGTTTTTTTAATATAAAGAAGTGATATTGTTGATATTTTGTGCAGAGAATAGAAAATCAGGAAAAGAGGTAGGTTACTTATTCCATCCCCCCTGCAAATTGTATAGAAGGCTCTTGCATCTAACAGATCTAACAGGTAGTTTCTGTCTGTTCTCTTAGCTCCCCAAATCATCTTCCTTCTTTTTTTGGTATTAATAAAACCTTTGATAAGATGAAGGAGTAAATTTTCAATCACATCACCTGGCCAGCATGGATCTGTGGTTGAACATTGACCTATGAACCAGGAGGTCGCAGTTTGATTCCTGGTCTGGGCACATGCCCAGGTTGTAGGCTCAACCCCCCAGTGTGGGGCGTGTAGGAGGCAGCTAAACTTTCCTTTTGGTTTTCATGTCATTTCTATATTTGAGTTTACTAACATGGAGGAGAATAAGGAGCTAAACCTTTCACTATTTTTGCTTTAGAATTTTTCTGTTTCATAGGAAAACGCAAATATGCCTAGACTTTGTTAAGCACAGTGACATTTTGAGATTAGCAGAAATCTAAGTCAAAATTCTTCTACAATCTTCAAAGAATTGCTTTCCATTAAAAATAAAATGAAAACTGGAATTTCTCCAAGCAACCTCTGGATAATTTTCATTAAATTGATAAACTCTCAGATATATTGTACGTGAAAAGCTTTCTAAAATGGCACTGCTGCTGTGAAAATGTTACCAGGACCAAGTTCAGGTGGTCCCTGTCCTTGATAAAAAGTATTCCATCCTAGTACTAGATAATGTGTCATATGCCTAAAGATTATTCTTAAAGGTGGTTTCTGTGAATAAATAAAATAGGACATGTATTCTGCTTGTGTACCTGTGCAGAAACCCAGCAAACGTAAACGGGTTCCTGTTACTTGAACAGAATTTTAATAAAATGAAAAAAAATTTAAGATAAGAAAAATTCCAAGTGGCTTTGATTTTTAAGTGGCAAATATTTGTTTTGCTTTCTCAGGCTAGAAGGCCAACCAATGGATTGACTGACGCTCCCAACAACCGGTCCACCAGAACGACTACCCATTCTTATGAAGCTAGAAGAATTTCAGGTAGTATCATGG